TAAACTCTCCTGCTTCCTCCGTTCCTTGTCAGTGAAGTCATGAGCAACTCCTGCTGCTCGTAAATGTATCACAAGTCTTTTTATCACTTCCCATTTTCAAAGCACCCACCAGTCTCCGCCCTCTTCCTACTGCGTCTCATCTCCTCCAGTCCATTCTCACATAGCAAACAGTGTGCTCCTTTAAAAGTGTGAGACGTAATGGCACCTACCCCCATCTCCCATGGCTCCAGTGCTCAGACTAAAACTGAGATTTCTGAGAGTACATGGCACTTCTGCCTGGGGTAATGATCCTAGGGTAATGATCCTGTCTGTGCATTAGCGCCACCAGGGATCTTTTGAGAAGCTCAAAGTCTGGGCTTGATTAAATAAGAATATTTGGGGATGTGGCCCAGGCATCAGTATTTGTTAAGTTTCCCTGACAAATCTAATGGGTAGAGAATCACACCTGTCTCCCACCTTCACGATGCCCCTTCCCTGTCTCCCTCCCTCACACCAAGCTCCTTCTGTCTTTGGACAGAACTCTTGCCTCCTTGATTTCTCCTTGGATTTGAGCCTGTCTGAAAGTTTCTTTCCTGAGATGTTGTGGTTCCTGTTAGCTTCTCAGACTGATATGTTTTTAATCATATCTAATCCAATGCCCCACATCCCCAGACTCTGCGTGACTCTCTATTTACCCCTCTTCTTAGTTCAGTCATTCTCACACATGTGTGTGTGTGTTTTCAAACACCAGCGTATAATCTACGAGATAGTGCTTGTTCTCTACTGTACCATGATGCTTGAGTTAGTGCTTAATGTTTGTTGACTGACTGCATATAGAAGGACCAGAACCAAGTAGAGTATCTGTTAGGTACCACCTGTTTGGCCAGATAGTGTCTTGTAGCTCAAAGGACCATCCCTGGGACAGGTGAAATGAAATGGGCAGATGGTAGAGTCTTGACCGATGGAGATTGTGTGAACCTAGATGTGGGCCATTTGATGGTAGCATTAGGGACGTTGATAGTTTCAAATCAGAAGAAACAGGTTTTTATTCCAGATTTGGGCAGTCCAGGGAAACAGAAATGATGTCTCACCTCCTGGAACACAGCTTATTCTACGTGGTTGCTGTAGGCTCATTATTTTATTTTATTTTATTTACTTTATGTGTTTAAGTGTTTTACCTGCATGTGTATAAATGTACCCATGTTGTACAATGCCTGTAGAGATGAGAAGAAGACATTGGATCCCCTAGAACCGGAGTTACGAACAGTTGTTACCTGCCATGTGAGTGCTGGGAACCAAACCCAAGTCCTCTGCAAGAGCAGCCCGTGTTCTTCACTGCTGAGCCATCTCTCCAGCCCCTGTAAACTTTTTAAAAAATTTTTATTATTTTTATTTTATGTGTATGCGTGTATTGCCAGCATGTAAGTAAGTGCACCCGTGTCTTGCAATGCCCATGGAGGTCAGAAGAGGCTGCCAGATCCCCTGTGACTGGAGTTA